CCACCATGCTTGGCTAATTTACTTTTTATAATTTTTTGTAGAAATGGAGTCTCCCTATATTGCTGAGGCTGGTTTTGAACTCCTAGGCTCAAGCAATAAATACTCCGGCCTCGACCTTTTGGAAATGTTGTTGGGATTACAGGCCTGAGTCACCCTGCCTAGCTGGGATGTTTTTAATAATTATGCCAGAACAGGCACAAACAAGGACTTTCCACCAGGGCATACTAGGCCATATGGTCACCCTAATTATATACCACATCAAATGTAAATAGTCCAAATTTTCAAGAGTAGTTCATAGTTCCAGATACATTTAAATTATAATATCCAAGCCCTACATTATAATATGGACCGTATAAACCAAGTGAATCCCTTACTAAATGTAAAGCTCTGAACATCTCACATTGTACACAAAATCAATTTCAGATGCATTATAAACCTCAATGTGAAAAAGCAAAGCACAAAAAGGTTTAAAGATAATCAAAGTATCTCCATGATGTTTAAAAAAAAAAAAACACTAGCCATAAAAAATTGATGAACATGTTTACATTAAAACGAAGAACTTCTGTTCATTAAAAGAAACTACTAAGTGGGAAAAAAAGTTTGCAATATATACATCCAACAAAGGATATATATTCAGAATACAAAACTCTAGAAAAAGACGTGTTTCAATTTAAAAAAGGCAAAAGATTTCAAAGACACTTCATGAAAAATGAAATCCAAAGACCCAGATATGAAAAGGTGCCTCATTTAGTGATGAGGGAAATGATTAAAACTAAATACAACTATATACCCACCAGGATTGGCTAGAATTGAAATATATGATACTAAGTATGGTTGTTGGTAAGGGATATGAAACAAGAACTCTTACATACTAATAAATGAGCTAAAAACCAGTAAACAACTACTTTGGAAAACTACTTGGCATTACCTGATAAAGACAAACATTCCCCATGTTCTTGCAATTCAAGTTCTAAGTATATAACCTCAAGAAAACTACGTAAACATGCAAATCAGTGCACTTAAACAGAAATGTTCATAAAAGCACTGTTTATAATAGCCCCAAACTGCAAACAATCTAAATGCAATACCCAAAACAATGGCAGAAGGAATAAACTTGTGTTATAGTCATGATGGAATACTATGAAACAATAAAAGCTAAAAATAAAATATATACAAGATAATCTTATTTACATAAAGTTAAAAAATGGGCAAAATTAAACTCTATTTAGAGATGTAAACTTACATGGTAAAACTATAAATGTCAGAAAAACATTTATATCTAGCTTAAATTAAGATGGTGATAGTTGTGATGGAAAAATATAGGTGGTGCGAGGCTTCTGGGATGCTGGCAATGTCTGTCTTGCCCTGGGTGATAGTTACAAAGATGTTTGTTTAAAAATATTTCATTTTTATTTTATGTATCTTTTCAGCCTGTGTAGTTAGGTTTCACAATAACACTCTCCCCGATAAATTTAAAAAAAAAAAAAAAAAGTTCAAAAAAGAATTCTAAGAATGTTACTCAAAGAGATTAACTCTTAATCCACAGTTTAAAAAGAGGAACAGGGATCTCTACATCCAAATACATGCTGTATTATAAATTATACGAATAAACTTTTGGCTTTAGGCTGGGTGCAGTGCCTCACGGCTGTAATCCCAACACTTTGGGAGCCAAGGTGGGTGGATCATTTCAGGTCAGCAGTTTGAGACCAGCCTGGCCAACATGGTGAAACCCCATCTCTACTAAAAATACAAAAATTAGCCAGCTGTGGTGGGCGCCTATAGTCCCAGCTACTTGGGAGGCTGTGGCAGGAGAATTGCTTGAACCCTGGAGGTGGAGGCTGCAGTGAGCCGAGATCGTGCCACTGCATTCCAGCCTGGGCAAGAGCAAGACTCTGCCTCAAAACGACGACGACAACAACAACAACAAAAAAAAACACAAACAAAACAAAACAAATGAAAACACCTTTGGCTTTACTATTTTAGACTACCATTCTTCATTCAAATTTTGAAATGGAAGGTGAAATTTTCTGATATCGAATTACTCAACCAGTCATGTAAATTTAAAATTTTTAAGACTGAACTCCTCGCTTCTAATCTTGAAATCTGTAATAAGTGTCCAGTATTGACTAGACAGTTATAATGTAGTTTTTGATTAGATAATATGTAGAATAATATATAAAGGTTGGATAATGTCAGTTTTTGCAAGCATAATCAAATTCCCCAAACCTGTTACATGTTTAACTCATGTTGCTTAAGAAAAAGCAGCTGGGTACAGTGGCTCATGCCTGTAATCCCAGCATTTTAGGAGGCCGAGGCAGGGGGATCACTTGAGGTCAAGAATTCAAGACCAGCCTGGCCAATATGGTGAAAGCCTGTCTCAACTAAAAAATACAAAAATTAGCCAGGCGTGATGGCACGCACCAGTAATCCCAGCTACTCAGGAGGCTGAGGCAGGAGAATTGCTTGAACTTGGGAGGTAGAGGTTACAGGGAGCCAGGATTGCGCCACTGCACTGTGGCCTGGGCAACAGAGTGAGACTCCATCTCAAAAAAAAAAAAAAAAAAAGCATATAATGATGTGGAATGAAATATCAAAGGCATGAATACAAACGTAAATTCAATGATTAAAAATTTTTTTCACTGCTATATTCAAATATCAAGTCATGACACGAAGAACAAATTTGTATTTTATGTCATATGAATTTAACTATTACAGACTAATGAAATACTGACTCCAAAAGCTGCTGAAAAGTTTTTAAAATGTGGGTTGTTAAAATGTAGACTTTTGGGGTTCCTGCATAAAAGGATATGTTCATAGTTTTTAAAAAATAACAAAAATACTCTAAAAATTTTCAAATGTATGTTTTTTTTCTTTGTGAGGAATAAAGGTAACACAGCCAACTTACTGAGTCACTAAGCTGGCAAGACACCTTTCAATTCAGATTAGGTAAAGCAATACTTTAAAAAATGTATTAAACCACTTTAATGAGAAATTATTTTCAACCCATATCTGGCTCTCACCCAGCACTTTTCATAATTTCATAAAGACAGGCTTTTTTTTTTATAATTGCATAAAGCCAGAAAAACACTATACAGCTAAATAACTATTATATAAAAAATATAAAAATAAATTCAAAATAAGGCCAAGCAAAAACTAAGTTACTTAAGAAACATCACTGGGAAAGTCTTAAACACCAAATACCATCATGCATCCTATAGTGGATTTCTAAAAAGACACTGAAGCGCTAAGTCTACAGGTGTTTTTATGAGGTAATGTGTCATAATACAATGTTTCACAAGGTAAAGAGGGAAATGTGGGGGTACTCCCTGGTTTTTCATACTACTTTTAAAATTAGACTTGGTGATTTTAAAAAGTGTATAATTCAATGATCTTCAGCAAATTTGCAGAGCTGTGAAACTATCACCATCTTGTACTACTCCTTTATGGTGTACAGTTCTAAAACATCAAAAGGTTCCCTACTCAGGTATAAGATTTGTCCCAACGCCAGGGCTAGTAAAAAGATTTACCTTAGGCTGGGTGCGGTGGCTCACGCCTGTAATCCCAGCACTTTGGGAGGCTGAGGCGGGTGGATCACCGGAGGTCAGGAGTTCGAGACCAGCCTGGCCAACATGATGAAACCCTGTCTCTACTAAAAATACCAAATTAGCCGGGCGTGGTGGCGGGCCCCTATAATCCCAGGTACTTGGGATGCTGAGGCAGGAGAATCACTTGAACCCGGGAGGCGGAGATTGCAGTGAGCTGAGATTATGCCATTGCATGATCTAAAGAGCTAAACTCCATCTCAGAAAAATAAATAAATAAAGGATTTACCAGAGCATCCAACAAGTATTATTAAATACTTGATCCCGTGAAACCACTTCCCTATCAGTTAACGATTTTTAAAAGTTTACAGATTTCAAAAATCTTCTTTATCCTTGGACCAAACCTACCCAGAGAGTCCCTAACCATGCTATGCAGCTCCCACCTCTACCAGAAGTGCTGGGAAAATCACCTAGGTTATCTAGCTTCCCCCAAAGTATTTTACACTGTTGTGAGATTTCCTTTAAGATTCAGGAGCTAGTTTATTTACTTTCTGGTTTCCTGGCAGAGCAAAGGCCCTGCACGTGTGAACGGAAACAAAACCCCCACAGACTCTAGCGATGCCAAATATTAATACTATGGGTAGGGGCACCTTCTTTCTCGGCCGAATTCCTTTTCCCAGAGAGCCTCCAGAGGGATCAGTCAACGCCCACTGAGCCTGGATCAAAGGTCAAGCTTGCCTGGTCAAGAAGGATCCTGGATCAAGCTTGAACCCGTTTCCAAAAACAGGGCAGTCGGGGCAACAGCAAGCATTTTTACCACGCGCCCTAATGAGATGGTTGCACAACAGGCTTTGAGGATTCCGGTTTAACAGGTAAATACCAACAGAGAATGAGCCGAGGGAGATGGGATCTGCTCCACGGCATCGATGGCATTTCGAGAATGTCTGCGTCGCAGAGCAAACCCAAAGTTTTAGCACATTACTCAGAGTTCACCAGAGGAAGATTGCCACGAATTGAAATGAACAAAGTGAGAAAATGGGTGCTGTGTAGTCAATGCATCCGCGATGAACTCAAGCTGGGCGGAAAAATTCTTTGAATACTCCGGCTTTGTTTTGTGCTAAGACGACAGAAGCCCCGAATTTCGGAGTTGGAAGACGCGTTTCTCCGTGTTCTCCAGCCCGTTCTCGGACTTCAGGGCCGCCCGCCCGCCGCGCACTCAGTCCCGTAGTTCCCTGGGCTTCAGGCGCGGACCTTCCAGGGGGGCGGAAGCCAGGGAGCCGCGGGGAGGCCGCGGTCCGGCCCGCGACGCCGGGGCCCGGAGAAGGGAGGGGAGAGGGGAAAGGCCTGCCGGAGCTCGACGGAGGGAGGGAAGGGAACGAGGAGGCCACGGGCCGGAGCGGGGAGCAGCCCCGAGCGGCGCCCGGCCCGGCCCCCACCCCGAGGCCCGGTCCCGCGTACCTTTGGCAAGGGCTACGGTGGAGTTTTCGGTGTCGATGGTGTAGAGGATGCCCTCGTAGCGGATCTCCGCCTTGGAGATGAGGCTGATCTTGCTGCCGATGTAAGGGGTGCCCCCGCTCATGGCGCCGCCGCCGCCGCTCCCGGCTGCTCGCAGAGAGGCAGATCCCACGCCGCTGTCGCCCGCTCCGCACGCCCGCTAGCTCCGTCGACACCTACAGCAGCCGCTTCAGACCCAACATGGCGGCGGCGCCGGGTCCGCTACCCTCCCCCAGCCTCCCGCCCTCAAGCCGCGGCGCGGCGGCGGCGGCAGCGGCAGCGGCGGCGGCGCGGGGCATGCTGGGAGGGCTAGGCCGCGCTGTCGCGAGACTTGGCCGACGGCTGGCGGCTCTCGGTTCCTGGCTCCCGGCTCCTTCGCGGCCTCGGGAGTCCCGGCAGCGCCTATTGGCTTGGGCTACGGCGGTGGTCCTGGGGCCGCGTGAGAGGAACTTCGGGGACCGGCTGAGTGCCTCGTGGCACCGCTTGCTGCGGGCTGGAGAGGAGGCGCGCGGCCCTCCTTTTGACTCAGGCCTTGGCCGCCTTGTCGTGGGTCCTGTGTCTTTGCCGACGCGGGGCCCTCCGCCTGGAGCGCTGCCCACCCGCCTCCGAGTTGTGGCTAGCCGCTGCTCATCCTTTTAAGACACTGAACCTGCACCTCGTGGAGCTCCTACGGCTCTATTACCGCAGCCATCGTCCAGGGAGCTTCCCCCGAGGCTGCCCCTGGAGCTGGGGCTCTCCCGACGGCTCAGTGTTTTAGTCCCTTCCTGTCCCTCTCATTCAGCCGGTCTGAACTAGCTTCATGGCTTGCAACGCCATTGTAACTCACCAATCCCAATTATCAGTCTGTAGCTTGGATCAATTCCGTGAACTCGGGTTTCGCGCCTAGCCTCTGTCCAATCTCCAACGTTAAGGGTCCAAAGCCATGCTCCCTATTTCCCCTCTAACCTGCTCCTTCACCACCGTTCCCTGTTGATGTAACCGGTACCATTTTTACTCAGCTGCTCAGACTAAAAGCCTTGAGTCAGTCTTGACCTCTGTCTTGCTTCCACATCTGTTCTGACTACACCTCTCCGTTATATCTACACAATGTATCCTAAATCTGACCTCTTCTCCTCATCTCCATCCCTACACCTCTCCCACAAACCACGATTACTCGGGCTGAATTATTGCAGTAGCCTTCTAAAAGTTGCCTCTGTGTCAACCCTTGCCCCCAGTACTTTATTCTCAACACAGCAGCTAGAGAGATCTTGTTAAAATCTAACTCAGGGCTGGGCGCGGTGGCTCACGCCTGTAATCCCAGTACTTTGGAAGCCCGAGGCGGGCGGATCACAGGTCAGGAGTTGGAGACCAGCCTGGCCAACATGTTGAAACCCCGTCTCTACTAAAAATACAAAAAAATTAGCCGGGCATGGTGGCGCGCACCTATAGTCCCAGCTACTTGGGAGGCTGAGGCAGGAGAATTGCTTGAACCCAGGAGGCGGAGGTTGTGGTGAGCCGAGATTGTGCCACTGCACTCCAGTCTGGGCTACAGAACGAGACTCTGTCTCAAAAAAAAAAAAAAGAAAAAGAAAAAATATATAACTCTGATCATGTTCTTCCTCTACTCACTCTACTGATCCCATGTTACACAGAGAGAAAACCAGACTTTGGCTTCTAAGGATATACATGAATTAGCTTCTCGTTCTATTCCAGTCACGTCTAATTCAACCGGTACTTGAGCACTTTATTCCAGTATCTGCTCAAGTATCACCTCCAGATATGACGTCTCTGACAACCTTGTTTAAAATAATACCACTCACATCACTCTACATCTCCTTAACTCAGCTTGCATTTTCTTTATAGCATGTATCTCTCTCAAGTATGTCTGTTTAATTATTTGTGTCTGTCTTCTTCACTAGAATGTAAACATTTTGAGAGAGAGATGTTGTTTTGGTCGCTGCTGTATCATCAGGGCCTAGTACAGCACCTGGCTCCGGGCAGCTGCTCAGTTAATATTTGCTGCATGAATGAACAGCAGGATGAAGGCAGAGCACAGGCAGGATGGTAGTGAGCTGAGTGAGCAAATGGCGAGAAGTCTGGCATCATAAGAGAGGGACGCAGGAGAGAGACAGAGCTCTGATGGTGCTGGTGCACAGTGGCTACAAAGAAAGGTTTGGAAATCCCTGTTTCAGTACAAGGTCCGTGCGAGGAAGTTGAATTGTTTGTTTTTGTTTTTTTGAGACAGTCTCACTCTTTCACCTGGGATGGAGTGCAGTGGTGCCATCTGGTTGCTCACTGCAACCTCCACCTCCTGGGTTCATGCCATTCTCCTGCCTCAGCCTCCCGAGTAGGTGGGATTACAGGTGCACGCCACTACGCCTGACTAATTTTTTGTATTTTTAGTAGAGATGGGGCTTCACCATGTTGGCCAGGCTGGTCTCAAACTCTTGGCCTCGAGTTATCCACCTGCCTTGGCCTTCCAAAGTGCTGGGTTTACAGGCGTGAACCACCGTGCTTGGCAATTCTTTCATGGTTAAATAATATCCCTTTGTATGGACATACCATATTTTGTTTATCCATTAATCAGTTGATGAACATTTGGGTTGTTTTCACTTCTGCTATTATAAATATCCATGAATACCTCTATGAACTAGTTGTTGTGGGAACATGTGTTTTCAATCCTCCTAGGAATGAAGTGATTGAGCCATATAGTAACTTAGAGTTTAACTTCTTGAGGAACTGTCAAACTATTTTCCAAAGCAGCTACACTGTTTTACTTTTCCACTGGCAATTGTATGAGGGCTCCAGTTTTCTCCACATCCTCACCAACACCTGTTATTGTTTATCTTTTTTTGTTTGTTTGAGATGGTGTTTTGCTCTTGTTGCTTAGGCTGGAGTGCAATGGTGCGATCTTGGCTCACCGCAACCTCCACCTCCCGGGTTCAAGAGATTCTCCTAGGCCGGGCGCGGTGGCGCAAGCCCGTAATCCCAGCACTTTGGGAGGCCGAGACGGGCGGATCACGAGGTCAGAAGATCGAGACCATCCTGGCTAACACGGTGAAACCCCGTCTCTACTAAAAAATACAAAAAACTAGCCAGGCGAGGTGGCGGGTGCCTGTAGTCCCAGCTACTCGGGAGGCTGAGGCAGGAGAATGGCGTAAACCCAGGAGGCGGAGCTTGCAGTGAGCTGAGATCCGGCCACTGCACTCCAGCCTGGGCGACAGAGCGAGACTCCGTCTCAAAAAAAAAAGAGATTCTCCTGCCTCAGCCTCCCTAGTAGCTGGGATTACAGGCATGCATCACCACATCTGGCTAATTTTGTATTTTTGGTAGAGTCGGAGTTTCTCCATGTTGGTCAGGCTGGTCTCAAACTCCTGACCTCAGGTGATCTGCCCGCCTTGGCCTCCCAAAGTGCTGGGATTACAGGCATGAGCCACCGCACCCGGCCATTTGTCTGTCTTTTTGAGACAGGGTGTCACTCTGTCAACCAGGCCGGAGTGCAGTGGCCCTATCATGGCTCACTGCAGTCTTCCTGGGCTCAAGCAATCCTTCACCTCAGCCTCCCAGGTAGCTGGGAGCACAGGTACGCCCAGATAATTTTTGTATTTTTTTGTAGAGACAGGGCCTTGCCATGTTGCCCAGGTTGGTCTTAAATGCCTGAACTCAAGTGAGCCTCTCGCCTTGGCTTCCTGGAGTGCTGGAATTACAGGTGTGAGCCCCACACCCAGCCAACCACTTTTAAATTGGGCAATTTTCCTTTTCATTGTTGAGTGGAAAGAGTTCTTTTATATATTCTAGATACAAATCTCTAATCAGATCTACAATCTGCAAATAGTCTCTTCTCATTCAGTGGGTTGGTTGTCTTTTCACTTTCTTGATAGTGTCCTTTGAAGCACAAAAGTTTTTAATTTTTATAAAGTCCAGTTTATTCATTTTTGTTGTTGTTGTTTGCACTTTTGGTGCAACAACTTTTGGTGCAATGAAGCATTGCCTAATCCAGGATACAAATATTTACCCACAATGTTTGCTTCTAAGTTTTATGTGTTAACTCTTACATTTAGGTCTTTGATTTATCCTGAGCCAATTTTTGTCTATGGTATGAGGGGGACTTCGAATCTTGCCTGAAATGGAGATGGGATTAAGAAGCTTTCAGATCAAACAGGAGATGGAGTGATTACAGGAGGAAGAGTGAGATATATGTTCTGGAAAGTAAGCAATCCAATATGGCCAGAGCCTAAAGTATGCAGAATATATTAGGAGTTATAGTGGATAGCAGTGGCCACACCAAAGGTGGTGAGGGTTGAGGGCCTTGTTTCTCCCGTGTTGTCCAACAGCCATCCCCTAGCCTCATAAAATAGAGACAAATATAAGGAAAAAACAGTGTACTAGCTGGGAATTGCTTTGGACAAGCCTCGCAAAGCCTCCAGATCTTCTTTCTTACCCCATAGCTCCTCAAGTGTAGAAATTCTAGAGCTTCTACTGCTGAAAACATTAATAGGGAAGAATTTATTTTTTCTACAGGCTGCCAGGAGCTTTTAAGCAGGGAAGCAACAATGGATTTTGGATTTTTAGGAATCCTGCGATGTGTCACAGTTCTCAACCTTGTTTCTAGTACACGAAACGGAGATTAATGTGCATATTACACTATGGGCTACCAACTGATCAGTTGCATTATACATAGTTCCTGCTGCCCTAGGGTGCAGGAAGCCATGAGTTGCAAAACATAAAGTAGAAGCTACAAGATTGGTGACTGATTGGTTGTAGCCAGTTAAGGACTCCCAGTTCCAGGACTGAACACCTTGGTGAGTCCTAGGGCCAGTGATGGGCATAAGGAGAATGGATAAAAGGCAGTTTATTTGTGGGGGGGATGGAAATATTAATAGATGTAGATAATTTTGCACTTGTTGAGCTGGAAGTGCCTGTTGGGACACCAAGCAATTCCATCTACTTCATAGTTGGTATGACCCTAAAAGTCGGGAGATCTGAAATGGAGATGTAAATTTGGAAATTGTTACAGATGGAAAAAGGATAAGCTCACTCTCAGTGGCTCATACCTGTAATTCCAGCTACTCAAGAGGCACTCCAGCCTGGGCAACAGAGAGAGACTCCGTCTCAAAAAAACAAAAAGAAAAGGAAAGAAAAGAAATGCCAAGAACACGCAAATCCATAGAGGCAGAAAATATTAGTGGATTAGTGGCTGCAAAGGCTGGGACATGGGGGTGAGGAGTGGGTATGGGAAGTCACTACCAAGGGGTGCAGGGTTTCTTTCTGGGGGGACAAAAATGTCTGGAAGTAGGACAGG